AAAAAAAAATATATATTTATGTAAACAGACCTAAAGTTAAAGATCTTTAATTATCAGGGAAAAAACAAACTGCATATTCATATTTCTACATCCTGAATACACTTGAAAGATTTCAAACATTAACAATTTTTTTTTAAACAGATAAATATTCTTAAACAAGGAAAGGCAAAAGTTGATAACTAAGTTACTGGAAATTTTCCTTTCTTTGACTGAAGCACAGACAGAAAAAATCCCAATGTGAGCTGCAAAATTTACTTATGAATAGAAAGAGACTTCCTACCATCTCATGAGTTGCAGCACATACTGATTTGATTTTCAGAACACGTTACTTTGGAGACAATCCTTTGTATCATTTTTGTATTTTTGCTGAAATAGGAATTTATTTTGAATATATACACACACATATATATATAAACACTTCTTTTTAACTGGTATTCAAAAATGTTATTTTTCGTATGAATAAATGAAAGATTAATACAAAATACATGGGAATAGCAACTAACAGATAAATATTTCATTGGAAGTTGCCATGCAAGGCAGACTTTATTCAGAAAATGCCTTCAGAAGAAGGAGGCTGTCTTAAATTTTTTTTTTTTAATGTCAGTAATTTCTTGTACAATGAATATAATAACAATGAGTACTATTGTAAGTAATACTTCAGCTGAGCTAGGCAAACATCTAGGTTATTTTGAGAATGAGATACTCATTGTGAAGACATTCGTCTCTTTACCCAGGCTTAGACAGTATGAAAAGGAATGTGTATCTGTTGTGTTTAAGTCAGTTGTAGGCTATGCTGTACAGGGAAAACACAGTTACTGCGCTTACAGGGGCCAAAACACTTCTGAGGCAAGAGAGAAACCACGCTCATAACATCAGCTGTTGTGGCATCCCAGAGCACCTCCTCCCCACAGCCACAAGTTGTGCTGTGCTGCATTAATACCTGCTAGTAAAACCACACAGCTCTTTTCCAAAGAACGAGCCGGCTCTCAGTCAAACACCTGAAGGTCTCCTGACCTCTGCCTCCTCCTTTGCGCTCCCCCTCTCTCAGAAGCAGCAATCTGTCCTGCATACCACCTCTTCTCCCCCATGCTCTGTTTATGAGGCTGCATATGGAGGAGAGCGGAGGAGTAACTAACTGCACACACGTTGCAGGAAGAGCATCCCACTGTCTGGATATAGCTCCCATAGGTGACAAGATGAAACTAGCCTGCTTTATAAACTCCAGAGAGACAGTTTAGAAACTCTCTGTGGAACAACACAGTAGTCAGAGAGAAGAGGGAAAACATACCTACTGACCGCGAAGCTGAAAGAGTAGTAGCAGGATGGACTTTGAGCTGATTAAAAGAAAAGCCTATGTGCATATTACAACTGAAGTGGTGACACTTAAACGTGCAAAAACCTAAGTATATCATTCTTTAAAATAATTTGTTCCCAGTGACTGATGCGCAAGACTTGCAGCAGCCAGACAGTTAGCCTGGGTATCCATACTGGCAGTAGTGTAACAAAACACGAGGGAAAGAGCCAGCTAAAGAAATGCTAGCCTTAGGAAACAACGGTTAAGGCAACTGAATAGTGTCAAACTCAGGTAAACAGTTTGCTTTGTTATTACCTGCATCAAGTGCAGTCACCGCTGAAGATATTTACTTGTGACGCTCCTTATACCATCTCCTCTCAAGCTCTGGTCCTGAACCTCACTGCCAGTTGGCATTTTAGGAAGCCAGCAGTTCTCTTACCATTGCTGGTTCCAGCAGCAGCTCCAGTTTACTTGAGGAACCGGCTGCTCCATTATATTACTGGATGTAGAAGAACTGTTTCTGAACCTGGCATATGTTTCTGGAGTGCAGGGTAAAGTGGACTTTTTTTCTTCCTCCTCACTTCCCTCCCCACAAGCAGATCACACTGAGAAAATAAACTGCTCTAAAGCATAGAGGGGAAAAAATAGTGCTCTTATGCAGTAATAACTTATGGTTTAGTTCACAGTGTGTGGGAGAGGAAGAGGTTGCCTTCCTGATTTCTTCATATTCAATAGCTTGTTTGTATTTGTGCTCTCTTTAAGCAAAGGAGAAGGAAAAAAGTAAACCAAAGAGCATTTACAATCTTCATTATGCTTGCACAAAATACTTCAATGCTATTACCTTTCTTTACCATTTTTTGCCAAGGCATGGATAACCTAAAAAAAATCCCCAATCAATCACTGTCAAGGAATCCAATTTATTGATTTTTATTCTTTTTTTCTTTTCTACTCTTACTATTCACTTTGTCTTCTTTACCTTTCAAAAGCTTGAAAACTTGATTTTGGAAGACTTTAATTTTAAGTCTTCTAACTTCAGTTACTAGCTACACTACACTCCAGTACAGTTAACAAGCATGAGCCATAAAGAACTTCTATAATAAGAATGGAGGATTTATAAATCTTATTACTATGATATATTACAAAATAATTACTGCAAATTATTATTCCAAATCCAATGGTAAAACAAAAAGCACACCTTATTGACCGCTTCCAAAAATGTATCTTTTTGTGAAACAGATGGACAAAGTAAGTACTAATTATAGAATCTCACGGAAAAAAGACAGATATTAACACAAGATTATCAAGAAGGACAGATAATGTTATGAAAAACCCAAGGGTTTGCATTTAATGGGCAGGAACTCAAAATTCCTAGCTGAACTGACAGTAACATGTATAGCTTTTTCCAATTCATTGCTCCATGCTATCTAGACTTAAATTTATTCCCTTTGTCCAGCTCAGAAACAAAGCCAGTGAAAGTAGTTCTAACATACTAAGGTATTTCCATTACTTAAAAGCCAGTGGCACCATCACCCTTGGAATCAGGTCCTAAAAACATTAACCAGAGGTAGGTCTTACTAAAGGTTCCAGCTTCTGCAGAACTGTTATTAATACTATGAGCTATCTTGAAAGTATGCATTTGCCAGGATAAATTCCATATCCCAAAACACTCCGTTTACTGTAAAGTTTGTCCACTATTTTCCTGGTAAAATCAAGCATCATTTAAGTAGCTGGCACATGAGTCAAAACCACTTCTGTTTCAGTGCCTCACAAAGAATGCTGCGGTAAACATCAATGCAAAACAAACGTAAAGCAAAACTATGAATAGCACTAATCATGTTTGCTTATTAGGATTTTATCTGTTGGACAACTATATATCCATTTGTCACCACTCAGTCCAACAGAACAGCAGGCTGAGGATAATGCAGGATTTTATCGCACTTGACAATAAAGTAAGGATTCTAGTTATAAATATTAAAAGTATGACTATCAGCCTTCATTACTCAACACATACAACTCAGTCATAACAATAAGCTTTACCTCAAAGAAAAAGTAAGAAATAAACTTACCTAATGCAGGATAGCCTAGATAAAATCTATCTGCTCCTAACCATCCAAGAAATAAAGACAGAGCCACTGCCACTTTGTAGGAGTACCCATTTCTGCCAAAAGAAACAAGTAATGTAGACAATGACTGCAAAATATATTTCCTCATACTTTTGAGAATTAAAGTAGTGACTCATTTGCCTGCTGCTTCAGTTTAAAAAAAAAAAAAACAAAAAACAGACGTGTTATTTGTCTTCAATTAACGGGCACAGAATTGATAATGTTAAGCTTTCAAACTGGGTAGGCATCCTCCATAAAGCAACCTCAGCTGTTGCAACTCAAGTATACTCTTGCAGAATACAGATTATTCTGAAACTAAATCATGATTTCTTGTCAAGAGAGACACAATTCAGTTGCTGATACATTCCCAGTTTTACAGAGCACTTCCTAACAGTTCAGCCCTACTGAGACAACCCTAGAAAGCTAAGAGGTGTATGCATACTGTCTGTAGGCATTAGTCTCACAAGCAGCCAAATCAAGAGGAACAGGATAGACAGTGGAGATGTCAGCAGAGACAGTAATTGCAATGAGATCTGAAGGAGAAATGAACCATGGCCACTGGTTGAAGAAGCTGCAGGAAGGATTCAACAAAAAGGGTAAATCATGTATCCATTTACTACACTCTAAAGGCACAAACTCACAAATGAAAAGACCTGTTGACAGTACAAAGATGCGCAGTGGTAAAGAGGTACCCTAAAGTTAAGCATCCCATGGTTAGTCATACAAAATACACAGATAGAACAGACTTTTTGAGATTTATACTAATTGGCACCATTCTTGCCAACAGCTGGAGTGATGTGGCCACCTAGCCACCTGTAACTTTCAGTCATTGCTCACGTGAACTTTGCACTAATAAGCGAGCTAGAAACATAGCTATCAAAACTAGAACTTGCTGCATCCTTTTCTGCATTGGCAAACAGCTAGCTTCTGAAATGAAAAGCAAACCCAAATGTAATTAGAACTTAAAAAATATTCAATAATTCACTGTTTTGATATGTGCACTACTATGTGCCAGCAATTACTTAATAAGCCCAAATTAAACTCTTGGTTGACAGTTGAATAAAACATAGTTTCACAAAGACAGTAGCAAAGAAAGGTCCAAGCACCTTTATTAAGCGCTTTCAATGCCAAATAAAGATCTAAGTTTTTGCTTATTATTTAGATTTACTGACTTTAAAACTTAATGGCAACACTAAGTGATTAAATCATGACTCCTACCTCAGTATTTGTTCCTTAGCACTTATTAGCAACACAGAACATACTGGGTGTTCCTGGAACCTAACATAACGTAAATTATCATCTTTAGAACTCTCTTGTTTCCACTGTAAAGAACACTAGTGGTTTTATTTAAAAGTTGAGGTAAACTGTTGGAAATTGTTTATCAACTACAAAGTGTCAACAACCCTCCAAGGACACTAAAGCATAAAAAGACCTCTTACATAAAAGGTGGGAACACAGTTTAGTTTGAGATGCTCCTGATCAAAACCAGTAATAAACCGAGCACTTGCCTATGCACTGAGATGCTTTTAAAAGCAGAACAGCCTGCAACCTAGTCAACATCAAACTGATGGGCAGAAGAAATCTCGTATGAAGTGGAAGCATGTTAATGCTATAACAAGGCTGCATCCACTCTTATATTTCCTTTACCTTACTCACAAATAAATACATGCACTGAAGACTAAAACAACAAGTAGGAAAATAACACATCCCAGGCACCTAAAGGGATTTCTACAATTGGGTAAAAGATGCAATTTCTTTTCAGTTCCTCTTCTGAATTTTTCTTGCTTCTCAGCCTCATCCAATCTTTATTTTTTTCTGCATACATTTCTTCCAGCTGCATGTTAAAACCTTTTTCTTCCAGCTCTCCCACACCAGTTGATAATATGCAGGTACTGCTGTAGATCACAGTGGTTTCTGTGCTCTTTCAGGGTCTCTTAGTACTGCTCAAAAACCTGTCCACGCTAAACTTCATGAATTTCACAGACTACCATTTGATGGGACTCCTTGCTGGAATGGCAATACTTGAGCAATGAACATTTCAAGTCTGCAGAAACAGAGCCTGCACATATTAAGCAAAATACATGATAGAGTGCCAATTTGGGGAATTCTAGAATTTGGCAAAAAATCTACCTCCAAAACATCAAATTAAAACCAAACCAAAGCCATCTCGACTCCCAGTATTTCTTTGCTGGAGCAACCTTGTTAGCGCTTACAAGCTTTTCCTTGAACTAACACTAGAAGCAACTTGATCACATCCACTTATACAAACATACAACTCCTGGTCTCGCTCTAAAATAACTGGATCCCAGAACTGTTATCTGGACTGCTGTTAAATTACAGTTTTGGCTAAGGACAACTTGCTGATTTGCTCCTTCCAGAAGCTAGGGATAGAGATTAACCTGCTGTCCCCACGCTAGGACAATCCTGCTATGGGAAGATGCCTTCTCAAACCAATTTTCTGGTTAAATGATGTGCAGTTATTTCTGCCAGAAGACAGTTACAGTTTCCATCAAAACTCAGATAAGATGCTGGAAAATCTCCAAAAAGCACCAGAAGGGGCAGGCCTACTGTTGTAATATCAAGCTGGAGATTCCTGCTTAAAACAGTATTTCTAACATTTAGGTAACATTCAAAAGGCCTTATAAAAGGCTCATATAACTATCAGTGATTAGATCACTTTTTAAACAAACATGCATATGAAGAATGTTAGTATTAATCTTGCTGCCATTTTTAACTAGCTTTGGGGCTTTATCAAGGACATGCTTGCGTAACTCTTTCTGCGTTCACAGTTCTATTTTACTGGCGTTTTCAGCAAGCCCACAAAGGGTCCTCTTCCCCTTCTGCCATACTAGCAGTCATGCAACTGGAAAAGCCACAGCAAGTTCTTTTGGTAGTGTAACCATTGATTATTTCATAATAAATAATAGTCACAATCAAGTAATAGACATCATAGGAAGGATGACATTTTTCTGCGTACATAGATTTGGTTTTTTTTAATTAATAAATGCAAAGAAAAAGTACATTTAAAAAATGTTTCTAGAAAATACATTAAACCAAAAATATAGGTATACAAAAAACCTCCAAATGTAAGAATTACTGTCTACTCCAAAGAGGAAGCAATTTTATTAAACTAGTATAGCTCAACTTATTCTCAGTCCCCATCACAGATGGGACTGAAACACAATTGTTTCTGGACAAAAATGTGACTGAAGTCTAGTTTCCTAGCATTTAAATTTGATTAGATGTAATAATATGTTTTCTTCAATTTGCTGAGCTTTGACTGTTGGGAAGACTAAATACAGAGAAAATATTTATGAAACTAAGAGGCAGAGCTGTACTTCTGAGTCAGGCAAATTACTGAGCAGTATCACATCAGAGTTATCTGCCCACTAGTGTGATAAGGAATACCCAGCGAATATTACTGGAGTTTTAATTTCCAAAGATTCCAGTAGGACAAAAGAAAAAGGCTCCTGCATGAATCCCACAAAAAGGAGAAACAAATGGTACTGACAGGTGTTCGCTGATCATTAGCATTGGCCAGTTGGAACATTTATGGGTATCCAGAGCTCTCCATTGCTCACAATGTGCTTTAGAAAACCTAGGTCCATCATTTTCATGTTTCAGAAACAGGCTCTTAAAAGACACAGAGGACTTTAAACACAAAGGTTGTTTAAAAATAGAGAACAGTTCCTCTAAAAGAGTTTTTTTGAGGAACTGGAAGGAGACTTAAACTTCCCCAATATTCATGCATACTACAACTTAAGCTGCAGCTACAGGCATGCTTTAAACTGGCATGAACCAGTACTGCCGCTGAACAGAGCAGCCTAGTCTAGCCCTCCTTTCTCCACCCTCTCTTATCCTTGAGTTGCCCTCATTCTTGTGTGCTGGCACAGGCACTTGAAGCGACTGTACTGTGACTCAAACTGGGGAACTGATCCAAGTCAGTTCAACCTCAGATCAGTTCTCTGATTCAGTATACAGTGGGGTATGTCACGGAGAGGGATGGAGAGGTGTCCCCTGACAGCTCCTTTCAGCAGCTGTGTGGATTTTAAGCATATGTGAAACATAGCCTTAGCATTTGGGGCAAATTTTTGCCAGGGTAAAGTATTCAGTAAAGCAAAGGTAAAATACTAAGGTAAAGCAAAGACACAAACATAACTAAACAAAGAAAAATGTGTCCATGGCTGAGACAGATTTACTTAGAAACATGCATGTTGTATCCTTATGACTTACAGTGCTTATTAGAGGATTAAGTACTGGGCAACATGTCTACAATTCTACCTTACTTCTCTTTTTCCTTCTGTCAACACATCATACTATTTTAGAAAAACTTCAATGTGAAAACAAAGACAAATTATTAAAAAAATCAATCGTGTACTTACACATTGCGACATGCAATAGGCTTGTAAAATCCAACTTCATGTCCCGTAAAGACTTTTTCTATTCCAAGGTGATCTTTGCAAGTAATATTTGGTGCTGGCAGACATTGAACTGAGGACAAAAAAATTATTTGAAAGTAAGCAGTAACCAATTGGGTACTGTAGTGTTTTTCTGACAAGACACAAGTGAAATATACAAATGAAGTTACACTGTGTAACAGTCTTGATACACAGCACAGTACACACAGACATATTATTTTTTAAAAAATATGTATTTTTTAAGCCAGTCCTATGACTAACTTGTCTTTTGGCATGATACACATTAAGCAAAATATACAAACCTAATTGCTGCCCTAATTCTGTTGTAATTTCCATTTTGGCTCCATTACGAGCCAATGGGAAATCTGAACCTGACATACAGAAAACATTTTCATTATAAGAACAGTCAAATATTGGAACAAGTTGCCCAGAGAGGTGGTGCCATCACCATCCTTGGAGGTTTTCAAGATCTGACTGCACAAAGCCCTGAGCAACCTGGTCTGAATTCAGTGCCAATGCTGCTCTGAGCAGGAGGCTGGACTATATGACTTCCTGAGGTCTCTTTCAACGCAAATTATTCTATTATTCTAAGCTAAGGCTTGACTCTTACAAGAACCAAAGTGGAAATCACAGCAGAAAGTGACATCTACTAAAAGTCTGCAATGTATTACCAGAATATTAGTCACTCTCCAGTGTTGAAGCCTGTTGTTCAAAAGAGAAAAATCCCAGTCCTTTACGCACTTTCTATCAGTTTTCAGTATTTTTGCGTCCCGTTGGTTGGTTCCAACAAAAAAGCAAGCCAGGTTCAACATTTCTTTCCAGATTTTCCAGTAATACCTACAGGCAAGAAGACTAGGATTTGGATTTTTTTTTTTAATTTTGATCCATATTGCATAGGGACCAAAAAAAAGGAAAAAAATTTAAGTTTCAGGCCATCAGTATCAGTAATGCCCAAACATATGATCTATGTCTGGACCTAACTGCTATAAAGTCCTACATGGATGTTACTCATCAATGTGCCTAATCTAAGACAATTACAAAAAAACTACATTCTTTCTTGTAAAAAAAAAAAAGCAAAGAAAGCCGTGCTTTCCTCTATTTAGAAGAAACTTGCAGCAGTTTAAATATATTGATACAGGAAAGGACACAGTTTTCCTGTCAATGTCGTGCCAGTAAGGCTCGAAATCTGCTACTCAATGAGACTACTTGGATGCTTTAAATTAAACCCCTATTTATTTGGGTGATGGATCACAGAAAGATGTTCAGAAACGGTAGTGCTTCAAGCATGATCCAGAAGATTAACTTTTTATTACTTTGATAATACTGAAATAGGAAGCAACTCAAATACTGTGGGGACAATATAAAAACTGTTATGTGTGTAAATGCACAGACACAGAAAACAACGTTAATTAATTTAGCAGCTTTCCCCACTCTGAAGCTTATCTCCGGTTCGAATGTATAGTGTATTAAAGACAGTCACATGGTAACTGGTGAGACAACTAACAGTTTGAGTTGTGATCAATCTCAAACTACAGAATATTCTTTCTGCTCACTGACTGGACGTTTACAATCAGAGACGTGATGTCAAAGATGATGTAAAGGACTGAATAACTTAAAAAAGGATCCATTGTGGACAGTACTTTCATCCAGTCTCTGAAGTATTTGGAAAACCTTCAGTATCCCTGAGCATCCCAGTGAAGAAAATCAGTCAGCATTGATGGAAAACAAAATGTGAAAGACAACAAGCACACACATGTCTTTTAAACATGAGTACACATAAAGCAAAACTGTTGTGCTATTAGCTACCACAGTGACTATTTATTTCAATGCCTGAGAACATCAGAAAAGCTAAACATATGTAGTAAAGCGATCAATTTAAGCATTTTTCTGTTGTACTCCAAAGTACATCAGAACTTAACATCAAAATAAATGTAAGTGCTTTCAAAACAGAGCCTCATGGCACCAAAAACTCCTGATTATGGACGGCACCGTGTTTCCTTAAAAAAAATTTAAAAATTAGAAGATTTTGAAGGCTGTTCTGTCATGTGTCAACTCTTGTAATAAGTATATGCAAAATCAGGATGACAGGAATGGTTTGTTTTAATCACAGTAGTGCAGGATGGAGCCTAGAGGATATAACATACATTGAAGAGATTTACCAGAATCCTCACTTACAAATGTACCAATCAGAGACAATGTATTTATTCATTTTTAGTAAAGCATCCAACCCGCACAAGTGTTTTAGGCTTTCATACTAATGATATCACTAATCCCATGTTTTATTTTATAAAGCTCATCTAGCAGATACACAAATGCATAAATTGAACACTTCCTTGGAAAATGTAGCTACTGTCAATATATAAAGTCAGAAATCCTTACCATATGCTGTGTGATTGGTACAGTTCATTGGTTCTTGTGTAGTATTATCTATTTTAGGCTCATCGCACATATATGTTCAGGTAATTGAGGAAAACATTTTTTCATATGAAACACTACAACAGGTTTAACAGTAATTTATTCCACCCTCTTTAAACCCTGCGGATTTAATATGCACCTTGATGTTAGTTTTCCTTCCTACCCATCCCCCAAAATAGGAACAGCACATTACCATACAGCAAATCTGCTAATCCAATTTAATACACCAATATATTGCATAAGCTCCACATTTAATTAATGCTGCAGTCAGCACTACCTAAAGGAACTACAATATTTATCAGTCACAGCCTCTGTATTTGGAGGCAACAAGGTAGCACGCCTAATTCAGTCTTCTTCCCTTATTTCAATATCAGAGTACCTTTAAATTGAGGCATTTGGTTGAAAAGATTAGATCTACAGTAAGAGACAAAATTCAAAGAACACCTAAAAATGAACATCTGAAACGCCAGGAATTTGGACTAGAAAAAACCTGAGCAGGAACTTATTTCCAGAGGTCTGAACTCCCACAGCCAAGTAAAGCAGGAGATGAAGTTAACTTTTCCAAGATTTGCTTTCCTGACACTTCTGATCTGCAGCTACATCAATAACTGTCAGCCACCGTCAACAAACATTTTCTGGGGAAGGCCTGACACACCTTTGGAGAGTCAGGAGCCTTGCAGCTACAGTCTCTTAACACCTGCGCCCTGCTCCTTCGGACTGTGGCAGAAGACTCAACATTTTGCAAAGCCACCGCGTCTCACTCGAGTGTCCTGCAAAAAATAAGAAGGTGGAGGGGTGGGAGAGAGGGGTCTCTCATCCCATAGGATTTTCTCTTTAAAAATCAGAGACATCCCAAACCTGCACACAGGCACACAGTGTACCACCCCCAAAATAAACCTACGCCGCTGCAGACGCGCCCTCTCCTGCTCCTTCCAGCTGAGACCCCCTCGGGCCTCCTGACTTGAGGCTTTCTCTGACACCCAAGGGGCTCCCCCGCCCTGCCAAGCACCTCTCGCCCTCCCCCTT